GAATGATGCTCAAATATAGGCACACCTCACTGCCCTCTCAGACAACAGCCCAATGGCTCACCTCATGTTTCAGAATCTTGGAAAGAGTAAGATGGTCCTACATTTGGTTACACACTCAATTTATATGAAGAAGGAATTACTTTCATTATAAAGAGTTAATCAAAAGTAACATGTTTCACAAATGCATCATTTGATATTACACAAACTTGGAGTGATGATAGACATAAGGCACAATGCTTCACCCTGCAGTTTGCAACCCCCACATGTGCACACACACATACACATGGACTCATGCCCAGTTCATTCACATGTGCACTTTAGCTCCTGCTGTATCCAAGGAATGTAGGAGTGTCATATGCCACAGTGCAAAGGAAATCCACACATATATTAAACACTTCTCCAAAAGAAAACCTTCATGTAATTATTGAAATTAAATGGAAGTTCACTGTAAGTTCATGTCATGTGTGAACAGTAATCATTTTACTTCTTTTCTGATTTGGGTACATTTTATTCAATTTTCTGCCAAAGTGCCCCTACTAGGAATTCTGTGCTGTGCTGAATGCCAGTGGTGCCAGTGGGCATGTTTGACTTGCTCCTGATCTTAGAGAAAAAGTTTCCATTATTTTCACCACGGAAAATGATGTTACCTATTGGCTTTTATACATGGCCTTTATTATATGGAGCAGTTTCCTTCTGTCTTTAGTGTGTTTGTTTTTCTTCCTAGGGATGTGTGCTACATTTTGTCAATTTTTTCTTTCATTTATTAACCACGTGATGTTGAAATGGCGGTATCATCAACAAATGGTAATGGGTTCATTGTATAACCACATGAAAGGAATAAAACAAAACCCTATCATATACCATATATAAAAAATTAACTCAGAGTGGATTAAAGACTTGAATATACAACTAAAAGTATAAAACCCCTAAAAGAAAACACAGAAGAAAACTTGATAGCTTTGTATTTATCAACAATTTAATAAATATGACATAAAATGCAATAAACCAAAAAAAAATAGGAACAATTAGACTTAACTTAAACTCAACATCATATGTGCATGGAAATAACATCATCAACAAGAGAAAAGGCAACCTGTGCAATGGGGGGAATGTTTTCAAGTTATATATCTAATCATGCACTCACATCCAGAATTTAAAATGTAACTCTACAACTTAACATAAAAATCCATATGAAACAGCGAAAATGAACATAAACAAGAGATTAGAAAGGATGGCACGGACATGCTGTCAACAGACAGCATGTACACTAAGCATGAGAATGTGAACTGGTGCAGTTAAAGGAAAGTGATATGGAATTTCCTTAAAAGATAAAAACAGGTGTGCCGTATGACACAGAAATTCCACCCCTGGATGTGCATCAAATGGAACAAAATCACTATATCAACAAGTTATCTGTAGGTGCATATGTGCTTTAGTAGCACATACAAAAGCCATAGGTAAAGAAAGTATGTATAATGGACTATCATTCACTATAAACAGAAGAAAATTGTGCCATTAGTGACAACACAAATAGACCTTGTGGGAATAATGGTCCACAGAGAAGTTAGACACAGAAAAACAAATACTGGGTGATCTCTCTTGCATGAGGATTCTAAAAGAAATCATCACAAATGCCATATTTGTGTCACCAGAGGTAAGGTTTGGAAAGTGAGATAGTCAGATGTTGATGATCTGAAGGCACAAACTTCCAGTCACAGGATAAGTGAGCCCTTGGGATGGACTGGGCAGCAGGATGACTAGATTTTTACAATGCTGTGCATTATATGTGCATTTTGCTAAACAGAATAGATCCTGAAAGTTTTCAGCACAAAGAAACTCCCATTTTCTTTATTTTTCTTCAGCTTTCTTCTCTTCCCTTCCTTTGTGTTGCCCTGTATCTATATGGAATAATAGTTATTAACTCTATTTTTGTGGGAATAATTTCAAATTTTATGTAATCCAGTTACTATATTGTACACCTTAAACATATACAGGGTGGACTAATTATATTTCCACACAACTGAAAGGAAAGTGAGGTGAAAAATGAAAGAGGCATTTCTCAAAGCTGACATACAAATGGGCAACACACATCTGAAAAGATGGTGGACATTAGTGTTAATTAGAGACATGCAAGTGGAAACCACAATGGGATGTTACCTCACATCCATTAGGAAGTTTATAATGAAGAGAAACCAAACAACATAACATGTGTTGGCAAGAATATGGGAAATAGGAGCTCTTCTGCACCCACTAGGAAAAACTGTATGAAGGCTTTTCAAACATTGAAAATAGAGGTGTCATATGGTGCAGCGATTGGACTCCAGGGTGTACATCTAGAGTAATGCCACAGAGAAAGTTAGACAACCATGATCATAGCAGCAGATTCAGAACAGACAATAGGTGGAAGCAACCTAAATGTCCCATAAAGGATGAAGGGATGATCAGAATGTGGTTCATACACACACTGGAGTATCATACAACATTGAGAATGGGAAACCCTGTCAGATGCTTCAGTGTGGATGGACCTTGAGGACTTTCTGATGAGAGAAATGAGACAGTCACAAGAAGACTGGTCTGTATGATTCCACTTACACAAGTTGTCTATCCAGAGTAGGCAGGTTTATTGAAATGGAAAGTAGGATGGCAAGTGCCAGAGGTGGGAGGGGTAACTGGATTTATGTGTGTAAAGTGTCACATTTGCAAGATGAAAGGGTTCTCCACCATGTTGTATGTCAAAGAGAATACACTTAACATAACTGAAGAGTATATTTCACATAAGAAAATGGTATATTTTTCTATTTTCTACCACAACTAAGAATTTTAAAATTAGAAATTAGAAATTAGAAAATTGGACTTCACAATTGTTATGTTGTCCCCACTATATCTGGTTTTTGAGACCTGGCCACTCTCTGTAACAGGTCAGTCCCATCTCAGACAGCACCAGCACACTGCATTTACACTGCACTGTGGTGAGGTTTCTGTTTCTGTCCTCACTTACCTTCTCTCCTTTGCTAAGAAGCAGAGACTGGAGCAGAGAGGGAAGGACACTTGGGGCCACCAGGCAGAGCACAGGGCTCTCCCACATTTTAGCCCAGAGTAAGCTCCCCTGGACATTTCTTTACAACTTTGGTCCCCATCAGTGTGACCATTATTTAATTGTGCACCTTCCTAACTTTATCAATAGGTGAAAATGCAGTTTCGCCATGCTGAACTGTGGTTATGGAAATAAAGAAACTATACTTCTGTATAATGACACGAGAGTCTGAGGTGTGTTTGCTGTGCTGTTTCCTGAGATTAAAGGTGAGTTTGGATAACCTTTCTGAATTGGCCCCTGAAATCATTGTCACAAATGTACAAAGTTGCTCATAATTATGCTTTTCAGATATAGATCTACTTCTGTATTTTCAGAACCACACCACTTCCAAACACATAATTTCATTTATAGTAATTTCTACTATAGGAGGTAAACATAAAATAAAAACTAAGGTCATGAATTAAGTTCACATTGTAGCAATTGTAGCAGGAGAACCATCAGCCCTAGGCATTATGTAGACTGGGCTTTAGTGAGTGGGAAAACCCTGACACATTTTAGAGGAAAGGGTGTGCAACGGCATGAACAGTTTGTGTCACAGCTTGTGTGTGAATGCATGCCATTTTCAATAACGAGTGTATGACTGTGTTATTTCATGTGACTGTGTGACTGACTGGGTTGTGATTGTGTGTGTTACTGTGTGTGACAGTGTGTGGCTCTGTGTGTACAGGTCAAGTACAAAGAGAACAGGAAGGATGCTGGTCACTCTGCTAGCAGATATGTTCACTCTGTGCACATTTTGTTTGACACTGAAGTGTTCAATATGAAATTTATTTACAGTTGGAACCAAGTCATCTGTTTCTTTCTATTAATGCTTTTGATTACTCATGTGCCCTGTCTGACCATTGTGATCATGGATGGGACCTGTTGAATATCAGGGCCAGGGAGGTCAGGTCCCCTGCACTGTTCTTAGGATCCAACACGATCCCAGTGAAAAAACCACCCACAGTGAAGCTTGAAACCCTTGGATCCAGGAGGGAATCTTGCAGGAGATCGATGGTACACATCCCAGTCCTAAGAGTCCCACACCCCACAGTGGTGTTAGCACTGCTTCCTGCAGGGAGAGGGTCTCTTCCTAAGGATGGATGTGAGATGTACTAAGATCCTGTGTTTGGAGCACTGAGCTGGCAGCCCTTTCAGGGATCCATATGGATCCCGAGATGATGGGTCAGGCCCACCATGTCTGAGCCTGATGAGGCCTGACAGCAGATGGAGGGTCCATGGGAACTGGAGTCAGAACAGGTGGGGGCACACCTGGGGTTCAGACACCATGTGCAGTCATGTCCACCTGTCAGATAGGTGCAGAGCTGCACACAGACAAATCACCATCAGGATGCCTGCAGAGTTCAGATTCAGGGAGGGAAATTTAAAAAGACACCAAGGAGCAGCATGTATACTAAGATGTGTCATCAAGCATATTTTTCAGCAGCTGAGCAGTTAGTTGAAAATTAGGAAATGCTATCAAGAAACATTATGCCTTCACTTTTCCATAAAAGCCATGTCAGTACGAAGAGTATAAAAACACTTAGAAACACACATGAAACTATGCATACAAGAAGGTACTCCTCACACAATCAAGAACAGATAAAATTGCTCTTGAAGGTAAATCAAACAGTAACACTGACCCACACACAGATGCACATGTTAACTAACACACTCACACACCTAGAAACAGACACACATAAATAGGATGAGAGGGAAGGTCTATGTGAAGACATTTTTTGAACATGGAGAGGAATTGCAGGCTACTTGAAGAATCCTTTTCCAAGCATTTCTCTGCACCTGCTCACCTGATGGGCCCCAGGCACCCACTGTCATGAGCAACCCCTGGAACCCAAACCCATTCCTGACCCTAAAGAAAGACTTTGGTGTCTAGACTGGCACTGTCTCACTCCATGTGTATGGTACACTACTTTATGACCATGTCCTTGGTGATCTTGGAGATCAGCTTCAGGGAGAGCTGGATCCAGGACATGTCCCTGGGTCAAGATTCTGCTCTATAGGGAAAGTTGTGGTGTGCACTACCCCTGGTCCCATGTGCCCTACTCTGGTAGCCATGCTCTGGGATTCACCAGTCCTGATGCTGACTTGTGCAGCTGACTCCTGACAGGACACCTGGGAAAAAGGGGCACCTTGAGTAAGGGACACCTCACCTTTTAGCCTTTTTACACACATTACCTAAAACTCTCAAAAGTCAGTTCCTGTGAAGGAGAAGATCTGTAAGCATGTTGTGTTAATGACACACTATTGTCCTTGTGCTCACACTCAGCTGACAGAAAGGAAAACACAATCTTTCAAGCGGGTTGTGCTCTCCCTGGGGCCTGATTCTCATTGACATGTGGGAAGGTCTTTGATCTGTGAGCTGTGGGAGACTCAGAACATATATTAAGTCATGCATGGACACATACACCACACACAGACATGTGTCAACACTTTAACATGTGTGTGCACACACATGCACAGAACCACACTTTTCAACACAACTTCAAGCACCTCAGGAAGGATGCCTGTCCCCAGGTCCCTGAGGTGTAGGTGAGACCATGATCCTCAGGGAACCAGAATGGCTGAACCTGGACCCTAGAAAACATCCAGATTTCAGCTGCTGGGACTGGTGAGTGTTCCCTTCTATGACAGGACTCTGCAGAGTGATTAAGTTAGGGATGGCTGAGTTAGAGGTGTTGACCTGGGGATTATCATGAATTCTCCAGTTGGGACATAAATGGAATCATGTGACCTTTTCAAAAGGAAACCAAAGAACATCAGAGTAACAATACTGTGATTGTTGAAACAGAGTTGGGGTGCATTTGCACATCCACCCAGTAAATGAGGGGCAAGAGGGTAACAGGTGGCAGGGAGGACAGGGACCTGAGGGGTGGAGGTGCTGGGGGAAGGTCAGGACCCCTGTAGGATGAGGGGAGCCTGCCAGAAGGAAGGAAATGTGTGAGGACATTGTGTGCATGCCGGGGAACCGAGAGCCTGAGCTCAGCACCCAGGGGCCTGGACAGGGTCTGGACCCCACTTTGTGGGAAATGGTTCCAACCACGTGGAAGACGAGAGCACTCAGGGTGGTTCACTGTCAAGGAAGATAAAGGACACACAGGAGTGTGGTGAAGGAAAGGTCCCAGGTACAGCTGAAATCTCATCTGCAAACAGACAGCATCACTTCTTCCTTTGCTGTCTGCAGTGAGAGTGGGAAATGAGAGCCACACAGAAGGAAGAAGTGTCCCTGGATGCAGCTGAGAGTTTTGAGAGGAAATCCCTGCCCCCAAGCCAAAGCCCCTTCCTTCCTGCCCAGACCCACAGCTGCCCCTGCATTTGTTCTCTGTGGTTGGTATGATCTGAGCACCCCCTGCAGCCCAGCCCTCCTGGCTCCCCTAAGGAGGTTTGTGTCTGGGCTCATGCTGACTTCCCCTCACTGTGTCTCTTGCACAGTAATACACGGCCGTGTCCTCGGCTCTCAGGCTGCTCAGCTCCATGTAGGCTGTGCTCGTGGACTTGTCTGCAGTTATGGTGAGTCTGCCCTGGAACTTCTGCGCATAGTTTGTGCCACCGTTGTTAGGGTAAATTCTCCCCATCCACTCAAGGCCTTGACCTGGGGCCTGCCGCACCCAGCTCATATAGTAGCTAGCAAAAGTGTACCCAGAAGCCTTGCAGGAGACCTTCACTGAGGTCCCAGGCTTCCTCACCTCAGCCCCAGACTGCACCAGCTGCACCTGGGAGTGGACACCTGTGGAAAGGAGGCAGGAAGGGATGAAAATATCTCTTGACAATCCCTGGTCCCCTCCTCAACCCAGGAGCAAAGGAGCCACTTACCTGTAGCCACTGCCACCAGGAAGAGGGCTCTCCAGCTCCAGTCCATGGTGAGGGGCTGTGCAGTCAGGACTTCTTAAGGGGAGAGTGTGGCTGTGGGTGATGCTCTCAGGATACAGACAGACCCACATTTAACCCAGTCTACCTCTTCTCATTTGCATATTCATGAGGCACAGTGTTTCATAGCTGAAGACTTTACCCCACCTGAGAGAACTAGAGGATACAGGGTCCATGCTCAGTGGAAGACTCAGGGTCCAAGTCCCAGTCACTGTTGTAAAATGTGTGTCCCTGTCAGGTCACTGATCTCTGGGGAGTCATCACTTCTCACACTGAGGAACAAGCCCCCACAGCACATGATCCTCATTAAGAACCCACCTTCCAGTGACACAGAGACCTCCTGGACCAGTTCTGGACTCAATGCCTGAATGTCCTTCCTTGAACAGTGTGTCCCCCAAATGCTGCACCCAGTGAGTGAATGAAACCACACCCCTCCCCAGCTCCTTCCAATTCAGATATAAGGAAACTATAGAAATATCCTTATCGAGTGTGGTCCTCATGTTTTATTTGGTTGGATAAATTCTCTGTAGGAATTGGATGTTAATAGTCACCTCATGTGTGAAATATTTTTAAAGATTTTATTTATTCATTTTCAGAGAGGGAAGGGAGGGAGAAAGAGAGAGAGAAAAACATCAACGTGTGGTTGCTGGGAGTCATGGTCTGCAACCCAGGCATGTACCCTCATTGGGAACCGAACCTGCGACACTTTGGTTCACAGCCCACGCTCAATCCACTGAGCTATGCCAGCCAATCATTTGTGAAATATTTTAGATGATTTACTGAAAAGAGGAAGACTGAGACCCTCACTGGAAGTCTTGCCCGAGCTCTCTCTGCACCTGCTCCTGGACAGCAGCCCACAGCGCCTCTTCTTCTCCCTGATGCCCGGACTGTACTCTCAAAGGGAGGGTCCTGTCTGGGCTCATAGGACATGGGATTCTCATCATCTCTAGTCCAGAGTAAAAGGCTTAATCTGACTTTAGGCTGCTCCCTCAGGGACACAAGGTGATTTGACATCTCTGGCCACTGAATTGTCTGCACTAAATCCCAATGACTGGACAGAGAAACCCATAGCCAGGGCTCCTTGAAGCCACCAAGGAGCTTCTTCCTTGGAGCTACATGATGCCCTGACTCAGCCAACTCCCCGGAGCCCTGAACATCAATGGGACTTGGGGTCTCTTATGTCCTCAGGTTCCTGTCTTTGCAGGTCTGATATGAGGATCCCAGCATGTGGCCCTAATCATACTGCCCATCTCCTGCTCAATAAATCACACACACACACACACACACACACACACACACACACACACACACACACACTGTGATAATGTTCATGGTACTGAACCCCAGATCTCCCTTCTCCACACCTCCTGGCACATGCACATGACCCAACCCTGAGCTTAATCTTGTGAGTGACCTGATTTGACAACAGACCAAGAGAAAACACATGTGATGTGAAGACGTGAGATTGCTTGCTCTTGTGAGTTCCTGTTCTCCCTGCACGTGGGACCTGCAGAGTCTGTGGTGAGAAGGGTCCTGGCTTGCCCTAGGGAGGGTCAGATCCAGGGAACTTTGTCCAGTCAGTGTAGGCAACACTGACCCAACATTCCGGGGGGCATCACTGAACTATAGCTCACAGGTCCCCATTCTGAAAGGGTGCAGCCGGGAGACACGAGTCCTGGTCAGAGTAACTGTGGTGCAAGGACTGGTTTGTTTTTGACTTTGCCCCATGTCTTTAGCTCCCCCTGCAGTTCAGCCTTCTTGTTTTTGCACAGGGAGGTGTGTATCTGAGCTCACCCTGACTTTATTTCTCTGAGTCTCTCGCTGAGTAGTACAGGGAGGTGTCTGTCTGCACATTGACAATGTTCTGAATCATCCCTTTAGATGGAGCATCTGTCCGTCACCTAAAGTGTCTCCTGACTTTAGATTCTCCCCAATAAGACCTACCCCCTCCAGCCCTATTTTGTTGAGCCTCTAACATGGATTTAGTATAAAGTCAGTGAATGAACCATAATTTGCCGTATATAATGCACACATTTTTGCCCAAAATTTTTGAGGAAAAAAGAGGGCTGTGCACTATACATGGGTGATAGAAAACCCTTATCTATATAAACATTTTAATTCTTTTATTTGTGCTTATCCATTAAAATAGTAATTCTAGAAATGAATAAAATATCTATATGCAGCTTTGGCTGGCATAGCTCAGGGGATTGATCGTGGGCTGTGAACCAAAGTGCCCCAGGTTCCATTCCCAGTCAAGGTACACGCCTGGTTGGCAGGCCATGACCCCCAGCAACCGCACATTGATGTCTCTCTCTCTCTCTCTATCTCCCTCCCTTCCCTCTCTAAAAATAAATAAATAAAATCTTTTAAAAAATATCTATATGCAAAATAATACTCAGACATATGATAATCAGTTGTGTTTCTAAATATACCAAAATAAAAATGGAAGTAAAATATTGAAATGAAAGTTTTATTCCTGAAAATTTTGGACCAAAACATAGGTGCACAGTATACCCAGCAACATATGGTAAATTACACCATTTACACAAAAATCTCAGTGATGCTGAGGTACAGGAAAAGCTGCAAGGACACAGCCCAGACTGGGCACAACCCTGCCTAAAAATAAGGCTCAGTCCAAGGTCCAGGAATGCTGCTGTCCCAGCCCTCCACTCACACTCAAAAGGAGCTACAAGGATTTCAATCCTAGTGGAAATGCATAAGTTGTTTTTAAAATCACTACTAGGAGTGGAGATGGTCCTACTAGAACACGGATGGTGAAGAAGAATTTTCTCCAGAGATTATGCTGACAGTGGGAACAGCTAGACAACAGTTGAAGGAACACAACCTCCCTTCCACACCCCTGTGCAGCAAATGCATTCAAGACAAGTGCATTCAAGAGCACAGATTCCACACTGTCAGCCCCTGGTCACAGGTTTCCCTTTTCAGGAGAGAAGGTGTCAGCTTCCATCATTCAAGATCAAGCTGCTGGCTGGTGAGTTTGAGCTTCAGTCAGCTGCCGCCAAGTGACAGGACTAGCTCTGTCCAGTTGACCTCAGGCCTGAGATGGAGGCCTTGTCCTGGGCACAGCACCCTTGGGACCCAGGTTCACTGAATTCCTCATCCTGATTTGCTGGCAGGGCTCACCCACCAGAACAGGTGGGTCATGCAGGCAGGAGCTGCCAGGTATTGAGATCTGAGCACTCAGGCATTTGCTGAGTGTGGAGCACAGCCATCTTTGTCCCCACCAGCAGGTGAATAACCCACCTCTAAGTTTTGTCTAGAAAAAGGCTAAAGATCATCCATCAGGTAGAGTTCTAGATCATTCCCCATGGATGTTGATTCCCATGGACATTCCCATGGTCACTGGGTGAGGTGAAAGTCCATTGCAGGCGATGAGTAGTCAGTGGAGTGTGTGATCTGCTGGGACCTTGTGCTTGTGGGGGAACCAAAGACAGAGAGACCTGGATGAGACAGCTGCTGTCAGGACAACAGCAGACCTGGTGGTGGGTGCTGTGCATTCACAACCAGCCTGGAGGTGTTTGTTTCCCTGTGTGGAGCCCTCCATCCCTCTGGACCCTGCTGAGAATGAGGGAACCCTCATTACATGAAGTGCAGCTTCCCACCTGGTAACAGTGAGAAAGGGATGGAAATCCCAGCCTCCCACTGTCCTCCTAGGATGGCCCTGTGAGCACCAGGACACATCCCCTTTGTTCTCTGAGCCTGGAGCATTCCGGGTTGAGTGATCACTGAGATCTACCTTTATTCTGCCCACATCAGCTGATCATTATTTTCACTGCTGAGTAGAAATCCACTCATGGATGTTCCCTAGTTTGCTAATTGTACAATTAGAAGGACTTTTGGGATATTTTGGCTTCTACTAGCACAGATAAAGGGGCCATATATATCCTTATGTGTTACTATTAACATAGAATTTATAGTGGTTCAAACACTTTTCTGTGACATTTTAAGTATAATTTCATAAGAAAATGTGATAAAATTTTTTAAGACAGGAAAAAATATAGGAACTTGGTGAAGAAGAGTTCTATGGACCCTCATGATATTTCCCCTTGTCTATTGTCTGCAGTGAAATCTTCAGAAATCAAATTAACAGAGAAGAAGGCTGTGTGTCTGGATGCAGCTGAGTGTTTCCAGAGGAAATCCCTACTACCAAGAGGAAGCCCCTTCCTTCCCAACCAGGCCCACACCTGCCCCTGGGGCTATTCTCTGTGGTTAGTGAGAGAAGGGCTCCCCCTGTCATCCTGACCAGTCCCTGCAACCAAGCTTTCCTGTCTCCCACAGGGAGATTTGTGCCTGGGCTCACACTGACTTTTCCTCACTGTGTTTCTCACACAGGAATACACAGCTCGGCCCTCAACTGTGAGAGGCAAATAAACTTGCCTCTTGTAGGTGTCCCTGGTGATGCTGAGCCTGGATTTTAGCATTGGGTTGTACTCTGTACTTCCACAGCTCCATATAGCACAGACCCACTCCAGCCCCTTCTCTGGAGCCTGGAGGGTGCATTGCATGTGACAGCTTTTAAAAGAGAACCCAGAGACAGCGCAGGAGAGGGAGAAGGTCTGCGAGGTTTTCATCACTCCTACTCCTGAAGCTACACATGGGGCAAGACACCTGGGGACAAGGTACATCAGTCCTTGTCAATCAGGTACACTCACCACTATGCTATAGACCTATGCCTGAAATCTGAGACACTCACCCAAGAGGGCTGTCACCAGGCACAGGAAGAGACGCAGCAGTTTCATCTTCTTCTGGAGCACAACTCTGTCTTCCCAGAGACCTCAACCCCATGTGAGGAGAGAGCTGTGAGCACCCACACCCCAGGGGAGGATTTACCCTGGAGCTGAGAGAGACATTCACATGTGGGGCAGCCTTTCCTGTAAAGTGGGGAGGGATTTAAGTCAGGTACCCTCGTCATTGTGCAATCTCTGTAGGGACATCACTTGTGATCTCACTCACCATGTGCATCAGGGACAGGGGATCCCCTGGTTTATGAGATGCATTGGAATGGGATTAAAGGACGGCCTCAACTTTCCAA